TGCAGATGCATGTGTGGTTCTTATCTGTTTCTAAGCGTAGCCTAAATAGGAGAATTAAACTGCATTTTACTTGAAAACATAATTTTGTCTCCTTGACAACCGTCTGAATGAAGCGTAGTGGTGATATTATATAGTTGTTTTTGTATCGGTGCATTTCTCCAAAAACAAATTTGGCGACACATCAACAACAACATTAATGAATAGTAATAGTCACAGCCCTAGTTACATTAATCTAGTTTAAGACTTGCTTCCATTGGGGGAGAGATAAACTTTATACTTGATTGGGAAGCTTGAAACAAAACTACAGCATGTATCCTAGAGTTTAGATCAAGCTGAAACAATATATAATAATTATATTTTACCTTTTTGGCGTTAATCATTCCACCCGTCGTTAATCCCAGGCCTGCACAAACATGAATATTTGGGGGCGTTTGATTTGTCGCAAGTCACCTCTCGTGTACATCTGAAATGGACAGGCCATACACCATTTTCTACACAGTGATTCATGAGACCTATTTTGCATAAGAACATGTTTGTACATTAAAATCCTTATCACTAATATAAGTCTCTTCACATCATTAATTCCAGGAAGTTGATATTACTGAAATATTATTTGACAGCACTTGGAAAAACTTGATAATAGTCACTCCAACACTTCAGAATTGTCATCTTTGGTTCAATAACGTTCAGGGCCACATTGTTCCCACCTTTAATTCCCACCCTTCTGTGACCTGAAGGAGTGCACTGTCTGCATACACTGGTTAATTAGTAAAGCTAACCGCTGATGCATTGGAGAGAGCCACACCTGCCTCCCTCTCCCCTCCCACTGCCCTCCCACTGCCCTCCCAGCAGGCGTTCGCTGATAATGAGGTGCGGTGTTGTCAAAACCACAGCCAGCGGCCATCCATCCAGCCCTACTTAGTAAGAGAGGCGCCACAAAAGTGTAAGGTAAGTCAACAAAACACAAGGTCATACTGAGACGACCCACATGTCGCGTTTTGTACAAGAAGCACTCAAACTAACTCACTTGGATGAATGACGAGGCGTCAACACTGTGCAGGAAACGACACATACATTGGCTGAGTATGAAAGCTTGTTGACCTTTCGCATTCAGATGTCGGGGTGGCATTATAGAGAGGCGTAATGCTTATGCAGGCTGCAGCAAGGTGATGGCATCTACATCAAACTGCAGTGTGTATTTTATTGACTGAATATTTTCAAAGAGCAGTCAAATTTGACAATTCAAATGCAGCGGTTAGGCTCACCCCTCTTTCCTGACTGAACAAAATGACAAGCTCCCTCCACATTGGTTTACCTTTGCACTTTGGATTCACTCCTCTGCCCATATTCACAAACCACTGTGCAGACAATAGATAGAGTGGACCTTGAGTTCTGATGTCACAAAGTGGAGTTGGAGCAAATTGGCTTCTTCCAGGGATCAGACGAATATAGTGTTTTGTGATGCGGCAAACACCACAATGGTCCATGGGCGGGAAACTGGGGGCAAATTTTATCATAGCAACGTCATAGCAACCAAAGGATTGCTATTTTGTGGCAAGTTTGCACTGAACATAATTTAGGGATAGACGCCTCAGTGGTATGTTTTTATAAGTCATATCAATTCTAAAGACAAAATCACAAATATAGCTGCAAGCATCGATAAACGACCCCATCACAATCTACAACTTGTGTGTATTGCACTCAGTTCTGGTTGTGATGCACTATAGCACCCTGACGCTTCGCAGCACAAGGCAGAACATTGCATCTGGGTTAGGGTGAAGTATGGGGCCAAAACACCAGCAAGTGTCTGAAAACGTCAAGAAGGCTTAGAGAAAATGTTTGAGTTGGTTAATTAAAATAATTCTACTACTTCTTTAGATGATTGAAAGTCATTTTGAGCCCCATCAGTGAAATGCCCTCATGAACGTAAATTACCCCCTTCTTGTTGAATTCAAGAAGGGGGTAACAACTATTGTTTTTACTTCACGGTCCGCATCTGTGTCAAATGTTAGGATTCTAAGTTGAATCATAATCTACTGCATCCTTCACTTTTCCTATCTCTGCAGTTCCATATCTCCCTTGTCCACTAACCTTTGACCTCTTCATGCTTTGTCCTTTCTGCAACATTCTGCTCTCGCTGTTTCAACAAAGTGATCCACTGTCTTATTCCTGCTGCCTTCTAGCAGTTTTTCTAACACTAACCTTGTTCAACCTGCAATATTCCTCCTCGGTCCATGTCTCCATTTCTCAGAGCATTATAATCTGTGCTTTCCAGTATTCGGCTCCATTCAGGAGGGTGAAGGGTAAGTGAAGATCGCTGGGCCCCAGTGGAGAACCCCAGACGTTCTGCAGTGGATATGTTGTGTGTGTTGTGTGTGTTTGTGTGCGCCCCATCATTGCTCATCTCTGGCAGTCTCTCTGGCTGTTCCCCGAGCTACAAGCTACAGAATAAATACACTTTAAATCACTGCGCACACACCCGCAGACACACACACAGCAGCAGGCTCCCTGGCAGCACTTTGCTGCTGTTAAATGAAGGGTCTGGGGAGTTTTGCCGGCGAAGCCTTTGGCTACCTCACTCTCCTCCTCCTCTCTCTTAGTGCAATCTGGTTAGACGCGCAGTCCAAAATAAGCTAGTCATAATGGGCATGCTCATATACCATTCTAATGTTAAATAGATGAGCCAAGGCTTTTTAAAGAAACACAGCTGGAGATGTGGTGACACTCAAAAAACCTGAACGAGTGAGCAAAATGTCAGAACCATCATCATCAGACAAGATTGCAACCAGCAAGTGAGAAATACTTCAGAAAAAAGGTTTTCCATTTATTGCACACAATCTGTCTGATAAGTACCTTTTTCACATTTAATGTGTGATGAAAAATAAAAATGAAACAGGGACCAACACTGACAGACATTCAGGACCAACACCACTGAATAGAGACATTAACTGCAGTTTATGGGTCAAATGTCATTCTTTATTTTGTTAAATATGATGATCCACGCTGTTTTGTCCATTTTACCTGCATTGTATTTATTCTTAGTTTGATCTCAAATCCACACCACACTGTCCCCTTCGCTTTGACATTTTGGGCCAACATTTGCCTCCTACACAGAGCAGTCTTACTGTGAGAGCTGTGTAATGGGTGCAGGTGCCAGTAGCCCCCTCACCCCCCCTCACCCCCCCTTCTCCAATGCTGCACTCGGTGCCCATTTAACCACACATTTAGAATCAGTGGAGTGTGCTCGAAATGAATAAAACTCTTGATGACTACATAACGGCACACATTTACTGTCCAAATTTCCCTTTCCCTTTTTGCCTTGGTATCTAGTGGAAAAGAGCAGCCGCTGAGCATTTGTCACTTTGGCGAGTAAATGTCTAATCGTGGTGAAAGAATCTGGCTGTGCTCATTGGGCAAACATGTGTACAATGGAAGCTAAGTGTGCACAGGGAAATGGAACAATGCGAAGTGACAAGCAGACTATATATATCTGTGACCTAAGGCTGTCAGTGTGTCTTGTCCTCAGCCCTGCTCTCTGTCCTTCCCACAATGCAACATCAACTAGGTTAACAGTGGCTAATGCAGCACGTCGTCAGTGTTGAGGAATAACAGAACAAATGTAACGCCGTTACATATTCAGAATACTCTTTGTGAGTAACTGTCTTTCGTTACAGTTACTACATTAACGTCTAGTATTCAGAATACAGTTACTTTCTGATAATCATGGGAATACACACTTTCTCATGGGCTCAACCCCATGAGAAAGGGCTGAGCCTGTACTTTTTCATACTTTGGTGTAACCAATGAAATACCAAGGCATGTAGCGAGAATAAAGTTGCTAACAACAACAACAACAACAACAAGCCGAGGAGAACTGTATATTGCCATCAGGAGGAGACACAGACAAGATGGAAACACAAAAGAGAAGAACTGAGAAGACTTGACACAGGATGGAATAAACTCACCAGAACAGTGGCTTTAAATTCATTCTATAGAAAAAGTAACCCATCGCCGACAGAATCACTATTTTAGAATAAATTGCCAGATCATGATTCATTTTGCCTCTATTATTACAAGACACATCTGTGACGCACATACTGCATTGGCTGTGTGTCAGGACCGGGAATCATATAACAAGAGTTATAAGTGACAAGTGTTACAAGTTTAGCATGTGACATTTTTAAACCTCATCAGTAACAATTATTGTGACCAAATCTACTGTAATGTAGTATTTATGGTGAAAAACTGAAGAATCTTATCTTCAAGGTTCAACATAATATACATTCTCCCACTGGGTTTTAGAGTTATTCCTCTGATGCAGGAGTCTGTTCTGTTAGTGTCTGAACAGAAGGACTGTGGTGATCCAGGACACACAACATTCACGGACATCGGTCAACTTCCTTTCAGACCAATACCCGTGTTCTATATTTTTTCTGTTTGAACCGTTTGATTCTCTGACCTGTGTCGTTTGCGATAACAACTGTTGTGATTTAGGGCGATCCAAGAATAAATTGAATTGAATTGAATAAAAACCAGAATAGTGTGCACGCTGCTCAACGTTAACATTATCTCTCTTGACTACAATTTACTTTTGCTCATGTTGATAATAAATGGTTCAATCAAGAAAACCTGTAATGTAACACACACCTCCATCTCATTTCTGTATTCTTCACCCGATGCACTCTCTGAAAGAACCTTTCCCTAGTTGCCCCATCTCTTTCTAAATGGTCCATCAGGCAACGTTACTACAAATAAATAAACTAATAATCAATATTATGGATACTCATTAATGTATCTCTCAAAAAACAAAGGACAACAGTTATTAATAAAGATGACGTGGAAGTATGACCAAGAAATGCTGAAGACTGTCGTGTAAAATGTGCAAAGAATGACAAAGGTATGTTATGTTAAAATGTCAAATGTGCGATTTCCCCAACCTTGGCCTGCGCATACAGACACTAAAGTGAGAGCAGTGTAGGGCTGCACTCAGGGAGACTTACCGGAGGCGTTTTTCTGCTTCCCATTGGAGTCCACTGTAGTGTACATGACATACGGGCCGGGCTGGTTCACACCGAATGGCTGTGAAACAAAAACAAAAAAGAAAGCTCTTATGACATTTTAAAAATAACTTGTCTATCAACATTGAAGCCTGAGAGAACAGGGACACAGTGGTGGGACCGGGTGGAAGGCCAGGAGTACGGGAGGTTATAGTGGAAATGATACTTCTGAATCAGACTGGTGAATGATTGTCTTCAGACTGCAAATCAGTGGATGGCACTGTAAGAGCAGTGCAGGGGAGGGATTTAAAGACAGAGTTTGATGGATGGAAGTGGAGAGCAGCAGAAACAGCCCAAAGCTCCACTCGTCTGCCACGTTCATCATACCTTTCAGTTACAACAACAAGGGGCTGGAGGAGGAGGAGAGAAACACCAGGAAAAGCAGCAGCATATCAATACGAAGTGCACAGCTGCATTAGAGGGTATAAGGGACACGTTATTTGTTTTTATTTAAAGGTATATTTGGATGGTACAGTGTGTATAAGTGCGTTGGGCTTATTGTTCTCGATGCTTTTTCTGGTGATGGCCTGCTGGTTGCCTGCTGCCGCTGTAGGCCTGGACACTTAAAGCATTGGGTTCATTCAATTAATCCTGGCCAAAATGATTTTAGCCATTCTTAACTCAGGGCCTAGTACCTTTGACTGGCAAAGCAACTGATCAACATCTTGACCACGTTCCACGAGACACTCATGAGGGGTCACAGGGTTTATTTTTAGCCATTGCTCTCCCTTTTTCAAATAAATCTTACTGTGGCTGTGTGTGTTCCAGGTGGAAGAGAAATGGGCTACCGGCCACAATCAGTTCACACAGTACAATCCAAAATTCCTGTTAGCGGTTGGTTCTGCATTGCCAATTGCAAATGTGGAATGTTTGGAAACAATTTAACAGGGGGCAGGGTATTTCCTGGGTGCAGTTGTGTTCCCTGAGATTCCTACAGTTGATTAGACTTACGTGTACCTCTAAACATTCCTCCTGTAATGAGGCCCAGAAGGTCCTGACTGTTAGGACAATAAGCCTTCGTTCACTGAGCGGCACTTTCAGCACCAAGGAGAGTTCCTGGCTCTCATTCTGCTCGTTATGGTTTTTGACCCTGATCTTAAGTGTTCCTTTAGAGAGAGTCGTTGAGAGAGGCAAGGTCTGTCATCCTCTGCCTTTTAGTGGCAGATGAAACCGGAGCAGCTGGGGGAAACCTACACGGACAAGGGGAAACTCCAAACAGTTTCCCCTTGTCCCCTTGTAACGCCCCAATGTGGATGTGGAATCAACCTTCTTGTTGTGAGGTTCTTACCACTGCACAAATGTAATGATCTTAAATGTGTAGTTTGCGTGATTTGTGTAATCTTCATCGTTCTGCATTAAGGGCAACATTCTCAGTTTGTGCTACTTTTCTCAAAATCCCCAAACTTCTATGGGTGTTTCTTATGCAAAATACTTCTAAACATGACAAACCACTTTAAGACCCACTCTGGGTACGGGTGAATAATAAGCTACAGCCTGTAAAATGTCCCCGAGTGTCACCAGGGGTTTGAAGACACAGTTTATGCAGCCATGTAAGAATACTGCGGTTTTATTGATTGTATGACCGGAGTACAGAGGGGAATAACATTTAAGCTCACGGTTATAAGCTTTGACGAAGCTACATAGGCTTCTCCTAACACCATTCTTTTGCCTTCTGCTTTTAACCCATCCTTCAATGCCGTTTATTCAAGGGGGACACTATAACATTTAAGCCAAGGATAGTTCTCAATCTCTGTCTCCATGGCCAAAAAAATAACATACTAAAGACCCACTACCTTCTTGCTGTGAGGCAAGCTCAGCCAGTCATGCATTATACTGTATAATAATGATTAATAAAAGTTGTTATTAATTGAATAGGGCTTACTGTATTTCTTATTATTGTTTTTATGCCATTTGTTTCTTGGCCATTTGCAAAAACGATCAATAGTGAATAGGTTGGAGACGTTGAAGTTTGTTATTTGAGCATTTGTTATGGCTTGGATGAGAGAAGGTGAGGCATGGATGTCTGCGGCCTCTGATGATGATTTTAAAATAACATTTGGGAGCAAAGAACAACTTTTGCAATATCTTTGTAGTAATGCAGCCTTCCTTGCACAGCCCCTTATCTCATCATACTGTATATTATTTCAGCCCAGAATAAATTAGTTTGTGGAACGCTTGCTACACATGTGATTCAGTTTGAGAACGTAGATCTTTCTTTCTTTCTTTCATTTATTTATTTGAGCAGAAACTTATTTAAAACAAACAAATTAGATATACTACTTGCAGTTTCTCTACACACCCTGTCCCTCCCTCTCTCCCTCTCTCCTCTGCATGTATCAGGAGCAGCGACAGAAGCAGAGCAGACACACTTTAATGAATCCACCCATAGAGATAAGAACAAAGCAGGGGCAGACACCTTTACAAATATTCTCTGAACCTTACATTTCAAAACGTGACGCATCGTATTACAATCCACCTGGTTTTCACCTCTGCAGAGCGAGAAGCTGAATGAGGAGATGAGATTCCAATGTCGCTTGCTCTCGCACATGAAGAACACGACATGAGCGAATATGAATGTGGCATAAGTTTCATTAGATTTTAGTTTTTTAAGTAGAGCTATGTAATATTTTAATGTCAAGTCATCATTAAAGGGCCCTAATCTGTCAAAAGGCATTCATAAAACCTGTTCTTTTCCAATCCTTCTTTAACTGATAACAGTCATTCAGAGATATTTGTATTTCTAAACTACTTTTCCAGCCTCTAAATCTTGTTATTGTTTTCATTTCGATGTCCCGCCCTCCACCGTTTCACCAATCAGAGAGTCTGTGATCCGGGCGCCAGAACTCACCGTGTGGAGCTAATCTCACTGGTAAAGTACCATGTGGCGCAGAACTAAAAAAGGTCTCGTTATGATTCTCAAATCATTAACGACAAAACAAAAAATAAAACCAGGATTTCTATCTTTGTGAAAAAGGTGTTGGTTATAGATTTGTTGTTGACAAAACTCTTGTCTATTCAGCTGTTATGGTCCCAGCTGGATTCGTCTGCATATCTGGCAACCTGAGTCAGGGAGAGTGGGAGAGGCTTCAGTACCACTTTTGGCCACACGTTTACAGACTGCTCCTTTAACTGTTTACGACATGAAACAGATCATAGGTATGGGCCCAAAATATCTGGATAAAGTGTCAGTGTGAATGAGACTGGCAAAGATACACCTCTCGTTTCTGCTGACTGAGCGGGAGGAAGTGTTTGAGGGCGGAGAAGTAATTGTCTCACAGCATTTTTTTCCAAAGGTCTTTACACAATTGTGAATGACATATTAACAAATAAAACAAAAAGATGAATAGTGAGAATAAGTCATAAGGTCAGTCATATTTTACCTTGACACCATCAGGGCAGTTGTTAGAGCAGAGGCCACTGAGAACTGTGGAGGAAAGAAAATAAAATGAATAAGTCAATCTTAAAAAGCTATTGTAACACATTTACATGCATCTTAGGGACACACTTTACGTATTCATGATCAGTTTGTACAAGCAGAGCAAGGACAAAATCAACTGATTTGCTAATCAGTCATTAGAAAAATGACTTTATTAGCATATTAATGGATCTGCGACAACGTGAGGCTCTGCTTGATGAAGTCACAGAGGAGTCCAATACGTGTTAATGAGGTGTGCTCACTGTGCCCTTAACAAGTCCATTTGGATGCACATATTCAAGGTAGATTCACTCTTGATTAAACCTGGACATGTGCTTTAGTTAGAACTAAGTATGCGCCTGTTTTTTAAAGTGGTAATTTGATGTTGATACAAACTTAGAATGCCTTTGTTCCACTTCTTCACTGCTCTATTCAATAATAGAGCAGTGAAGAAGTGGCATAATTCGTCACAAGGATTCATAAATATAAACATGTTTCTTCTTGTTTGCATTTATGAGGTAGGATAGTATTTATAGAACACTTGTGCGACTCATAAGAAATAAACAGTACAAAAACCAAACAATATCAAAAACATACAATTTTTACACCAGCACAAATTTACATTTTCTACTTCAACTATGGATCTATTATATTAACTGGATAGGGTGTTACAAGCTTGGAGCTGAAGGACCCCTGTAATCGCAGGATTCTCACGGTACTGCAGACTGAACCAGACTAAAGCAGACTAAATTCAAGTGGGCTACCCAGAAATGTTCCCCATATAACTCAATGTAAATGTGACAGAGAACCTGACAGAGAACCTACAGCTTTGATAAAGATCGGATTTTGTGGGGATTTTAGTGTCCCTTGTCATTCTTTTTTTTTTTTCTTAAATCCTTCGGTTTTCTTTAAATCCACACTTTAGTGCCACAAACTCTGCTCGTTTAACTACCGCTCTAACTCCCGCTCTAACTCCCGCCCTAACTCCCGCCCTAACTCCCGCCCTAACTCCCGCCCTAACTCCCGCCCTAACTCCCGCTCTAACTCCCGCTCTAACTCCCGCTCTAACTCCCGCTCTAACTCCCGCTCTAACTCCCGCTCTAACTCCCGCTCTAACTCCCGCTCTAACTCCCGCTCTAACTCCCGCTCTAACTCCCGCTCTAACTCCCGCTCTAACTCCCGCTCTAACTCCCGCTCTAACTCCCGCTCTAACTCCCGCTCTAACTCCCGCTCTCACTCCCGCTCTCACTCCCGCTCTAACTCCCGCTCTAACTCCCGCTCTAACTCCCGCTCTAACTCCCGCTCTAACTCCCGCTCTAACTCACGCTCTAACTCACGCTCTAACTCACGCTCTAACTCACGCTCTAACTCACGCTCTAACTCACGCTCTAACTCACGCTCTAACTCACGCTCTAACTCACGCTCTAACTCCCGCTCTAACTCACGCTCTAACTCCCGCTCTAACTCCCGCCCTAACTCCCGCCCTAACTCCCGCCCTAACTCCCGCCCTAACTCCCGCCCTAACTCCCGCCCTAACTCCCGCCCTAACTCCCGCCCTAACTCCCGCCCTAACTCCCGCCCTAACTCCCGCCCTAACTCCCGCCCTAACTCCCGCCCTAACTCCCGCCCTCACTCCCGCCCTCACTCCCGCTCTAACTCCCGCCCTAACTCCCGCCCTAACTCCCGCCCTAACTCCCGCCCTAACTCCCGCCCTAACTCCCGCCCTAACTCCCGCTCTCACTCCCGCTCTACTCCCGCTCTAACTCCCGCTCTAACTCCCGCTCTAACTCCCGCTCTAACTCCCGCTCTAACTCCCGCTCTAACTCCCGCTCTAACTCCCGCTCTAACTCCCGCTCTAACTCCCGCTCTAACCGCTCTAACTCCCGCTCTAACTCCCGCTCTAACTCCCGCTCTAACTCCGCTCTAACTCCCGCTCTAACTCCCGCTCTAACTCCCGCTCTAACTCCCGCTCTAACTCCCGCTCTAACTCCGCTCTAACTCCCGCTCTAACTCCCGCTCTAACTCCCGCTCTAACTCCCGCTCTAACTCCCGCTCTAACTCCCGCTCTAACTCCCGCTCTAACTCCCGCTCTAACTCCCGCTCTAACTCCCGCTCTAACTCCTCCGCTCTAACTCCCGCTCTAACTCCCGCTCTAACTCCCGCTCTAACTCCCGCTCTAACTCCGCTCTAACTCCGCTCTAACTCCCTCTACTCCCGCTCTAACTCCCGCTCTAACTCCCGCTCTAACTCCCGCTCTAACTCCCGCTCTAACTCCCGCTCTAACTCCCGCTCTAACTCCCGCTCTAACTCCCGCTCTAACTCCCGCTCTAACTCCCGCTCTAACTCCCGCTCTAACTCCCGCTCTAACTCCCGCTCTAACTCCCGCTCTAACCCCGCTCTAACGCCCGCTCTAACTCCCGCTCTAACTCCCGCTCTAACTCCCGCTCTAACTCCCGCTCTAACTCCCGCTCTAACTCCCGCTCTAACTCCCGCTCTAACTCCCGCTCTAACTCCCGCTCTAACTCCCGCTCTAACTCCCGCCCTAACTCCCGCCCTAACTCCCGCTCTAACTCCCGCTCTAACTCCCGCTCTAACGCCCGCTCTAACGCCCGCCCTAACTCCCGCTCTAACTCCCGCTCTAACTCCCGCTCTAACTCCCGCTCTAACTCCCGCTCTAACTCCCGCTCTAACTCCCGCTCTAACTCCCGCCCTAACTCCCGCTCTAACTCCCGCTCTAACTCCCGCTCTAACTCCCGCTCTAACGCCCGCTCTAACGCCCGCTCTAACTCCCGCCCTAACTCCCGCTCTAACTCCCGCCCTAACTCCCGCTCTAACGCCCGCTCTAACGCGAGCTCCTCTGTGCACGTGCACGAGAGCCACACACGCATATTTGGCGCAATGCATCATGGGAGCTCGTCCACTGTGCAGAACCGGGAGGACCAGACGATGCCCAAATATAGGCGAGTTCCACTAATATTTCGGCGCCACTGAGCACAAACCGTTCACTTAAATACGCCGCCATCTTGGATCGCCGGGGTTTGACTTCAACTTGCTAGACAAAAACAACACCTCTTAAGAAACAAAGTGGATCTGAAAGTATAAAAGCAATCTGAAAAGTATGAAAGTTAAAATGTTAAAAAGGCTTTCCTTCTGTTCCTATTTGTTTATGTTGCACAAATGTAACGGGAATTTACATGATGTGTGTATGTAATAAGGCATGAACAAATTAAAAAAATTAAATAAATGTTAAGTATAACAGTATAAAAATCATACTAGCACTATATAAACTATAGTGCTAGTATGACATTACTGTTGGCACAAATCTGCAACACACATTTTAAAGGAACAGATAAACAAGATGCTCTTTGCCTTCACAGAGAAAATACATTCAACATTTTATCTTCTTAGGCTTTGATTGAAAAACTGCAGACTGCTTTGATGCTGTGAGGATGATTAAGTAAACGCCCGAAGGTGGATTCAAATGTAATTCCAATCAAACTCTTCAGCCTCAGCTGATCACACACAGACACAATGCTACTCACCATTTCAACACTTGAGAACTGAGAACACTGAAGTCTGTACGTCTTTGAACATTCTTAATTTGACTTAAGAAGCTTTTTCTTGATTTGACCTTGGAATTAAAAGAACATGATGTGTTCCCAGATTTATTTCAATCAAAAAACTAAAATTAATTTTGATATGATGCATTCATTGTTTGATCCGTGATGACTGGAAATGGCCATCTTTGTATAAACAATATTTACCCTGAGCAGCCAGAATCCTACAATATTACAATAAATCTTTATAGTGAGGGTCTAAAACCACGTTAATGAAGATAACGGATGACAGAAGGCGAGGAATACAAAACAGAACCTTCTACTTTACTTTGAGGCAAATACATGTACTGTATGACGCTAAGTGTTTAGCGCAGAATTGTCCAAGAGGAACCCTACAGTGTCTGCTGCAGACGTACAGTAATCACTGGCACAGTCCAATATCTCTCTCTTCTATTTGTAAAACCCTGGACAAGAATAGTGTTTAGAGGAGGACTCCCCGCAGGAAGCCACTGCTAAGCAAACGGAACTGCAGCAGCTTGGTAAAGAGGAATGGTCAAATTGATCTTGATCAATGTGCCAGACTGATTGCAGTCACCTCAAACCAAAAACAACATTGAGAAACACAAAGAAACTAAAGTATTACTGTAAAGAAAACCTCGCTGATGGTATCAAGACAGGGCTCAGAGGATGAGCGAAGTCATTATTGAGCGAAGTCATTATTGGCAGCCAACATAATAATGACCCTGCGATCCACTTTGATCAACACATCAGAGGGTCTGCTGTAAAGTCTTCTGCGAAGGACAGAGCTGATCAATAAATCATAGAGACAGGATTACATTTGATTTTCATGTTGTGTGGGGTCAGGCGCCCACACGGTCGTGTCACTGAATCAAGCAGAGGGCGATTGGTTTGAAGACGGCCAGTTTTGAGGAAATAAAAGTTCCTGCTGTTGTGCATAGTGCATAGTGCATATTCTGTTGATCAGTACTACAACTTGAAACAATTTTATTGTAAATTTCTTTTTTTGAAAGAATAAGAGAATCTTTATTATTTCCACAGTGGAAAAATTAAAGAATCTCACCAAATTTCTGATGAAGAGATTGCCAAGAGCATCATATGTGAGTAAGCACAGGAAGTACAAAGGTGCAGTCTAAAACGAAGCCAGCTCACAGCAGCTAAGAGTTCTGCAGGTGTCCTTGGTGCTATGGAGAGCTCTGTATAAACATAGAGCAACACTATCCCAGAGTTGTGTCCTTGGTGCTATGGAGAGCTCTGTATAAACATAGAGCAACACTATCCCAGAGTTGTGTCCTTGGTGCTATGGAGAGCTCTAAAAACATAGAGCAACACTATCCCAGAGTTGTGTCCTTGGTGCTATGGAGAGCTCTGTATAAACATAGAGCAACACTATCCCAGAGTTGTGTCCTTGGTGCTATGGAGAGCTCTAAAAAC